TCATGGATGGATATAAACTGTTCAGGAAGGACAGGCAGGGCAGAAAAGGCGGGGGAGTTGCGTTGTATGTAAGAGAGGAGTATGACTGCTCAGAGCTCCGGTATGAAACTGCAGAAAAACCTGAGAGTCTCTGGATAAAGTTGAGAAGTGTGAGCAACAAGGGTGATGTCGTGGTCGGAGTCTGCTATAGACCACCAGACCAAGGGGATGAGGTGGACGAGGCTTTCTTCTGGCAACTAGCAGAAGTTGCTAGATCGCAGGCCCTGGTTCTCATGGGAGACTTTAATCACCCTGATATCTGCTGGGAGAGCAATACAGCGGTGCACAGACAATCCAGGACGTTTTTGGAAAGTGTAGGGGACAATTTCCTGGTGCAAGTGCTGGAGGAACCAACTAGGGGCAGAGCTTTTCTTGACCTGCTGCTCACAAACAGGGAAGAATTAGGAGGGGAAGCAAAAGTGGATGGGAACCTGGGAGGCAGTGACCATGAGATGGTATAGTTCAGGATCCTGACACAAGGAAGAAAGGAGAGCAGCAGAATACGGACCCTGGACTTCAGAAAAGCAGACTTTGACTCCCTCAGGGAACAGATGGGCAGGATCCCCTGGGAGAATAACATGAAGGGCAAAGGGGTCCAGGAGAGCTGGCTGTATTTTAAAGAATCCTTATTGCAGTTGCAGGAACAAACCATCCCGATGTGTAGAAAGAAGAGTAAATATGGCAGGCGACCAGCTTGGCTAAACAGTGAAATCCTTGCTGATCTTAAAAGCAAAAAAGAAGCTTACAAGAAGTGGAAGATAGGACAAATGACCAGGGAGGAGTATAAAACTATTGCTTAGGCATGCAGGAGTGAAATCGGAAGGCCAAATCACATTTGGAGTTTCAGCTAGCAAGAGATGTTAAGAGTAACAAGAAGGGTTTCTTCAGGTATGTTAGCAACAAGAAGAAGTCAAGGAAAGTGTGGGCCCCTTACTGAATGAGGGAGGCAACCTAGTGACCGAGGATGTGGAAAAAGCTAATGTACTCAATGCTTTTTTTGCCTCTGTCTTCATAAACAAGGTCAGCTCCCAGACTGCTCCACTGGGCAGCACAATATGGGGAGAAGGTGACCAGCCCTATATGGAGAAAGAAGTGGTTCGGGACTATTTAGAAAAACTGGACGTGCACAAGTCCATGGGGCCGGATGCGCTGCATCCGAGGGTGCTAAAGGAGTTGGCGGATGAGATTGCAGAGCCATTAGCCATTATTTTTGAAAACTCATGGCGATCGGGGGAGGTCCCGGATGACTGGAAAAAGGCTAATGTAGTGCCCATCTTTAAAAAAGGGAAGAAGGAGGATCCGGGAAACTACAGGCCAGTCAGCCTCACCTCAGTCCCTGGAAAAATCATGGAGCAGGTCCTCAAGGAATCAATTATGAAACACTTAGAGGAGAGGAAAGTGATCAGGAACAGTCAGCATGGATTCAACAAGGGGAAGTCGTGCCAGACTAACCTAATTGCCTTCTATGATGAGATAACTGGCTCTGTGGATGAGGGGAAAGCAGTGGATGTGTTATTCCTTGACTTTAGCAAAGTTTTTGATATGGTCTCCCACAGTATTCTTGCTGCCAAGTTAAAGAAGTATGGGCTGGATGAATGGACTGTAAGGTGGATAGAAAGCTGGCTAGATCGTCGGGCTCAACGGGTAGTGATCAATGGCTCCATGTCGAGTTGGCAGCCAGTTTCAAGCGGAGTGCCCCAAGGGTCGGTCCTGGGGCCGGTTTTGTTTAATATCTTTATTAATGATCTGGAGGATGGTGTGGACTGCACTCTCAGCAAGTTTGCCGATGACACTAAACTAGGAAGCGTGGTAGACACACTAGAGGGTAGGGATCGGATACAGAGGGACCTAGACAAATTAGAGGATTGGGCCAAAAGAAACCTGATGAGGTTCAACAAGGACAAGTGAAGAGTCCTGCACTTAGGACGGAAGAATCCCATGCACAGCTACAGACTAGGGACCGAATGGCTAGGTAGCAGTTCTGCAGAAAAGGACCTAGGGGTCACAGTGGACGAGAAGCTGGATATGAGTCAACTGTTTGCTCTTGTTGCCAAGAAGGCTAACGGCATTTTGGGCTGTATAAGTAGGGGCATTGCCAGCAGATCGAGGGACGTGATCGTTCCCCTTTATTCGACATTGGTGAGGCCTCATCTGGAGTACTGTGTCCAGTTTTGGGCCCCACACTACAAGAAGGATGTGGAAAAATTGGAAAGAGTCCAGCGGAGGGCAACAAAAATGATTAGGGGTGTGGAGCGCATGACTTATGAGGAGAGGCTGAGGGAACTGGGATTGTTTAGTCTCCAGAAGAGAAGAATGAGGGGGGATTTGATATCAGCCTTCAACTACCTGAAGGGGGGTTCCAAAGAGGATGGAACTCGGCTGTTCTCAGTGGTGGCAGATGACAGAACAAGGAGCAATGGTCTCAAGTTGCAGCGGAGGAGGTCTAGGTTGGATATTAGGAAACACTATTTCACTAGGAGGGTGGTGAAGCACTGGAATGCGTTACCTAGGGAGGTGGTGAAGTCTCCTTCCTTGGAGGTTTTTAATGCCCGGCTTGACAAAGCCCTGGCTGGGATGATTTAGTTGGGAATTGGTCCTGCTTTGAGCAGGGGGTTGGACTAGATGACCTCCTGAGGTCCCTTCCAACCCTGATATTCTATGATTCTACACTATAGACCTTAGAGAGACACAGCTGTACTGCTGCTGCCATGTCGCTGTAAGGTCTCCTGTGTAGCTGCTCTATGCTGATGGGACAGCTCTCTCCCGTCAGCATAAACCATGCCCAAAAAGCAGCGGTAGCTATGTCGTCGAGAGAGCATAAGTATAATGGGATTTAAAGAAGATTTGGATACGTTCATGGAGGATAGGTCCATCAATGGCTCTTTGTCATGATGGGTAGGGATGCAATCCCATACTCTGGGTGTCCCTAGCCTCTGATTGCCAGAAGCTGGGTGTGGAAAATAGGAAGACAAATCACTCAATGATTGACTGTTCTGTTCATTCTCTCTGAACCATCTGCATTGGCCACTGTCGAAAGACTGGATACTAGGCTAGATGGACCTACTAGGCTAGATGGACCTTTGGTCTGACCCATTGTGGCTGTTCTTATTGAAATGAAATAGTTCGACTCACCTGAACCAAAATTGTTTTTTTATTTTAGTTTTGTGAAAAAAATGTAATTTTGATTTTTTGTTCTTTTTCAGGAAAGGAATTTCTTTTGATAACTCAAAATTTTTTATGGCTTATGAAAACTGTTTTTTACCCCGCTCAACTATCTACATAAAAGCTCTCTAATATATGTAAATATTTCTCCATTTTAGAATTCCATGGTTTACTTCCGATATCTATGCATCTAACCACCCTCAGTTGTCTCCATCTGTTAAGAAACAGGGGCATGATCATTCACCTTGTAGGTAACTCATGCTTTTCTCTTCTTTCTGCTTCTTTAGCTCCCCATTCTTGTATTCACTTCCAAAGTATTCCATGGGTACACTTGCTCCATAGCCAAGGAAGCTGGCTTCATGGGGGGTGAACTCAAACCAGGTTGCTGAAAAATAAAAAGAAAGAGAAGGAAACAAAGCCCAGCAACAGTTTTGAGGTGGCAGATGAATCAGCAGGAAAGGGTGGCATGAGGTATGCATAACTCAGGGGAATGTGAGCGTGCTTCAAACAATGTCTACATTAATAAAATTTCTTTCCATCCATGTTGTCGCATCTTCACATCCATCCTTGACTCCTATTCACATTCTGTATGAAGCTGTTGGTCCTCACCTCCCAGGCTCCAACTACAACGCCACACCACCTGTGTCTCAGTTCAGAGTTCTTACCACTAAAGCTGAGCAAATAATGTAATTTTTAATTCAGTGGCTGAACCAAAAACTCTGGATAAATATCCAGTTTGATTCAAACTGAAAAAAACAACCCTAATTTTTCACCAAATTAAAAAGTAAATAAATAAATCATTTTGAGTTGACAGAAAATGAAACTTTGTTTTGTTTTATTCATTTCAAGTCCCACAAAACATTTTAGTTGACTCATTTCTTTCCTCCTTGATTAACCGGTTTTCACTTTTCTTAATGACCACATTTGAAATTAAAAGACCATTTGAAATCAAACAGTAAAAACAAAATGTTTTACACTGAACATTTGTTTCCCCAACTGAAACTATTCATTATATTTGAATTAAACAAAAAGGGGTCTGAAAATGCATTTTTAGTGAAAAAAAAAACAATTTATTGAAAATATTTCTCCCAGCTTGACTTGATCATCCCCTTTGCTCCACCATTGAATTCCCTACCTCCTCACCTCCTACCTTACCTTCTCCCATTATCAACTTCATGCTATCTTCCAGGATGCCCCATCATGCAGAGTTCTCTCAGTGTTCCAGAAGGCCCATGTGATCCCCTAATTCATGTACAATTCCTCCATTTGGTTCTCACCGCATCTTAGTCCCTTAGCACCTCCACAAAATGTGTGAGCTACCACCTGGTTCTAAACCATGTCCAAATTATAAGAGAAAATCTTGGCACATCTAGGGCTATGCAGAAGCTGTTATTTCCCATTTGGAGGGAAACTCCACATTTGTGAAATTTGGTTTTGTTCTGAATTGGAATGAAAAAAAAAATGAAAAATTCCCTGCAAAAAGAAGTGTTCAAGACAATTTTAGTTTGGTCAATCAAAAAGGTTTCATTGTGATTTTGACTTTTTATTTCATGTTAATTTATTGTTTGTAAAATTAATTTTGAACCAAAATGTCTTCTTGAAACTGAAAATTGAAAGGCTTCATTTTGGTATTTTTCTAAATGATTTTCTAGGGGTCAAAACTGACCTATACTCATGGAAAGTTTTTACTCTGTTGGATCATTTTTGATCAGCTCAAGTTATAGCTAAAAGTGAATGGAGCGATTGCTGGTGAGTTTCTTGTGAAATTATTCTTTCATGCTCCAGGAATTTTATTGTGTTATTAATGATGTTAGCTTCAAGAATCATAATTTTATATTGTTAAATCTAAATAAGTAAATAAGATAATAAATAAAGTGTGTCTCCAGCTAAAAAGATATACTAAACTAGGACAAAGGGGAAAAGGAAACAATAGTGAGTTTGAATTTTTCTCAAAAAAAGATTTTGCATGAAGAAAACTTATTCCCAGCAGTAGTAGATGTTACCTGGATTTTCCATGTTTTGTGAAATTTTCTGCCATAGTTTTACTGATATTTTAAGAATTTTTTAAGGTTTTGTTTCACTTACTCTTTTCCTACTGAAAATCAAGATTTTTGCTAAAGAAAATCAAATTAAAATATGTTTTTGATAAAATTTCTAGGGGAAACAAAGGAAACAAATATTACAGAAAATGTCATGCAATGTGAAAAAGGGGCCCATTAATAATCCTGCTGAACAAAAGAGATTTAAATGTTTTGAATTTTTTTCACAATTTGTTTTTCCATTTTCAATCAGCTCTAAAGACAACCTTTAAATCTCAGTTGCATGTAGATGAAATAAATGACAGGCTTCTTTACACTGACATTACCTGTAGACTTGGTTGTTTGTTTTTACCTGGAGAGTATTCAGTTACTTTGGAAAAACTTCGCTCATCCACTGCTGCATAGATGGGGTAGGGGTTATTTCCATTCTCAGAAGCACTCTGCTGCTCAGACAAGTGTCCCTTGTCCAGCTGTAAAGACAAGATTTTATAGGTTCAGACAAACACACTCCTAATTTAAAACTATGATTGTAACATTGCATATAGTCCCTGCCCTGACAGCTCAGTCCAAGCCTGAGCTCAAGGAGCCAACACATATCCACATGCTGAGATGATAGCTAGACAGATGTGGAGTTGACCCTCAGTCACCCAAAGGTATACATGAAGTAACTCAAGTAACTCTGCAGAATTCAGTGGAGCCACTCAGCATTTATTTATGAATGAGACCAACCTTCCTCAATGACTAAGTGGTCAAGCCATTAGCCAATACTTAATCCCCACTTCCCCTGCGGACTCCCTGAGGGTATGTCTACACTCTACACTAAGCCCGGCGTCTGACTCAGGTGTGAGCCCAAGACCCGTTTCTGTGCACACACAAATCAGTCTGACTTGGCTCAGCATGGACTCAGGACCCATGGTCTTAGGTCCTTAATAGAGGGTTGGGTCAGAGCCAGTGTCCCACAGCGACTCGGGTCCAAGCCCTCTTGTTTTGCTGTGTGGACTCAAATCAAGCCGCAGTCTCGAGTCAGAAGGTTGGGTAGTACAATAGGACCACATTAGCATGGCTGTGACACCTACGTCCAGCAGCTGTAGGTACATCTGCACTGCAAAGCGAAACCCACAGCATCAAGTCTTAGAGCCTGGGGTCAATTGACTTGGGTCACAGGGCTTGGGTGGTGGAGCTAAACACAGCAGTATAAACATTCTCCTGTGGGCTGGAGCCCAAGGTCCGAGACCCACCCCCATCACCAGGTTTCAGAGCCCAGCTCTAGCCCAAGCTCCAGCCCCGACCTATGTTACTATTTTTAACCCAGAAGCCTGAGCCCCACGAGTCCAAGTCAATTGATCCAGGCCCTGAGACTCAGCATTGCAGGTTATTCTTTGCCCAGGTTTACACTGCAGTGTGGACACTCCAGCCCAGGCTTGGAAATGCCAGGTACACCAGACCCAGATTTACAATGCAGTGTAGACATACCGTATGTGGTCTTGAGCAATTCAAGCAGGGCCAGTTTTTTAAAGGTATTTAGGCACCCTGGGGGATTTTCAGAAGCATGTAGGCACCTAAATCCCATGGAAATCAAAGGGTGCTAGGTGCCTGCGTGCTCATCCCACAAGGTGATACCTTTAAAATCTGGCCTTTGGGTGCTCGGTGCCTCAGTTTCCCCTCTGTACACTTCCCCACTTCACAGAGATGTTGTGAGGCTAAACACAGTAAAAGATCACGAAGCACCCTGGTACTTTTGTGAGTGGGGCCAGACAAGGACCTTAGAAAGTTACAAAAGGGAAAGTTTTTCACCCACTTCATGTAACATTCCATAGACCACAGTGTAGGCCCAGAACTCAGTCAGGGAGTAATTTTCATCTTTAGCTGCCTCGAGAAGCATTTTTGTTGCCTTTGGGACACTCCAGGTGTATTTGGAAAGTCTAGCACACATACTTTCCTCCAAGGCCTGCAATTTCTCTGTCCAGTCCCCATTTTTGTAGAGAGACGACATACACCTATTACAGAGACAAAACACAGATGGTAAGGAGAACAGGATATGGGCTATTTTCCCCAGCCATTTCAATACCTGCATAGTTATTTATTAGAATATTCTCACTCATCGTTCCATCATTGCAATGCATTTGTAACCTGCAAGGATCACATGGCTGGCTGGATAGATGCTGTTGAAAGCCACAGCATCAGCAGAGATAAAATCCAAATCCCCCAGGTCCTTACCAGGCTGAGCAAATGGAGAATCTCCATTAGCAATACACAGGCTCCCTGACACCGAGTTTGAACAGCTCTGGTTACATTCAGGACATTTGTAACATCCACAGATCTGCCCAGCCCATCATGACTCTGCCGCCCTAACATTGACTTCGATGGGACTATTTGTGCAGAAAGGTTGGAAGGGGAACGATGGTTCAGTGCTTAGGCCACTTGTCTAGAACTTGAGAAATGTGGGTTCCGCTCCCTGCTCTCCCAGAGATTGTAGCCCAGGTTCTCCATAGGAAAAGGGGGATACAGGCACTTTCCTACCTCACAGGGGTGTTCTGAAAATAAATGCAGTGGTGCTCAGATACTATGATAATGTGGGGTAGATAAGTAACTACGATAATTAAGAAGTCACTCACTCCTTTTGAATTGCATCAACAACAGAGTGCCTAACTCCCTTAGGCTCCTGTGTCAATTGCTACGCACTGTGAATAAGGCTATCAGTATGTGGCCCTGTTAGATTAGCTGGATGTTCTGAAGGACACAGTCTCCTTTTCCATTGAGAAACTAACTCTCCACCCTATCCTACAACCTTGCAACCATTGTTGTCTCTTTTACACCTGGATATCCCCATCTTGTGTTACACCCTGTCACTTGTTCCAGTTTACCGAACCCCAGTTATGTCCACTTCTCACTATTCCCATGGCCCAAACCATTGTACACACTCTGCCCCTCTTTAACGACAACTAACATAACAGTCTCTTGACTGGAGAGAAAGGGACAACAGAAGGTCGTAGGCACTGTTCTGCTATCCTGCTTTCAGCACAAATGCCAACAACAAGTGTGCCAAAGATCACAAGTCAGGTCACAGAAGATCCTGAGTTTGGCTTAAAAATCATGAGATTTATTTTAAAATAGTACTCCTGTTCTTTTTGTGGATACAGACTAACACGGCTGCTACTCTGAAACCTTTAAAAACATGGGTTCTTTTTACTTGCCTTCTGGCATTTGAGCTGGTAGGGTTCACATTTCCAAGCTTTACTCCACAACCACCAGAGCTAGACACTTATGCTTCATAATATAATTAAAGCCTGTTTTACACTAGACTGTTTGGCCAGCATAACTGTTGCTCAAGGGGTGTGAAAAATCCACACTCCGGCGTGGCATAGTTAAACTGACTTATGTCCCTATGTAGGCAATGCAAGGTCAATGGAAGAATATTTCTGCTGGCTTAGCTACTGCCTCTCAAGTATCTGGATTACCTACGTTGACGAGAGAACTCCTCCCACTGGTGTAGCTAGTGTCTACACTGAAGCATTACAGTGGCGTAACTGCAGCAGCTGAGGCGTTTTAAGGGTAAATAAGCCATAAGACTCACAAAAGACCCATGACTGAAGGATTTTGGCCTTTAAGGGAAATACCAGATATCAAGCAATTCACAATGACACTGCAAGATCTGTAAATATTAAATTAGAAGTATAGGGCTTGGCCCCTATTGTTTTTGCTCATGTAGAAATCTTAGGAGGGTCAGACCTAAAAGGCATGTCCACACAGCAATGTAAGCCCAGGATTAGTAGAACTCAGGTTAGCAGGCTCTGGGTCTGCTAACCTAGGACTTGAGCATCTACACTCATTTGTAACCTCAGGTTTGGAATTGTTGAACTCTGGGTCCCAATCTGGGGCTCCAGAGTCTACACTGCATTATGCAGGACCATATTCTGCCACCCATATCCCAGACTTTCTAGAGCCCTCCCAAAATGTGGCTGCATTAGCCCTTTGTTTGTGGTGCAGTGTGGGAAAACTTGACTGTCAATAGGAAAAAAGGAAGTCATCCTGTGGGACATCTTTGGTTGACTCCCAGAGCATGAGTCCAGTGGGACTGTGTCTATACTGCAAAGCAATAGATCTTGAACCCTGGGTCCTGGCCTGACTCAGGCTCAGACCCTCTACCCTCATGGAGTCCTGGGACCCTGGGTCTAAGCTCTGGGTTTGCATGATTTGTGTGTAGATGGAAGAGGTATTGAGTTTTAGCCTGAGTTTGAACCTTGGACTTACATTGCAATGTATGCAGGCCAAGGACTTTCTGCAGTAAGAAGCAAAAGCCATAGGACAATAGCCACCAGGAGCTAAGAAGCAGGGAGTAACGTCCCATCTAATTTGCGTCAAAACAATATAATATCAGGCTGTTAAGACGTCACTCCTGTCCTAATAGTACCCACCATCACCAGATAAAGAAACAGAACTTAGGATGTTTATAGACAACTTTGTTTGATAGTATTCTGTTTGCAAAGAAACCACTTATCACCAGTTGTGATGGTTAAATCTATAGTTCTATTGATTTTCCATTATGGCCCCTACTTCTCTTTTGCTTGTATGGTCCCTGTGTAATTATTTTATTGTTTCTGTCCATTGCATAAATAATTTCTGCAAGACTTAAATCAGCTAAGATGTTGGAGTATGATTGGTTAAAGAATTGTTTTATAATGGGCTAGGATTGGTGAAAAATACTGTTTAGTTTAAAATGATTGATTAAGGTATAGCTAAGTAGAATCCAGTTTTAACTATATAAACTTGAGTCCAAAGGGAAGTTCTTTGGATCCTCACTCCAAGACACAGCTCAAGATCAAAGTTGTCAGATCTCAGCACCTGGCAAAAATACCATGCAGAAGCTGGAGCCCCTGGAAGATCTAAACTTGATTGGCCATTGAGTAAAGTTTATCTGCCTTATTAGGAGTAGTGAGAATTGTATATGTAGCATGTGTATTCTGTTTTGGTAACTGTTAATACATAGAGGTTAAGGATATTACTGTGTAAGGTTCTTTTACTCATAAAAGAGCCCATGAACCCCCAGCAGGTTACATCCTGGGCCCAGGACTGGTAAGGGTGAGTGCCTTATGCCCCGAGCCCATGCCGGGAAAGGGTGGGGTGACTAAATTAACTGGGTTGTGTCTTGAGCCCATGGTAGGGTAAAGGTGGGGTGCCCTAGATTGTGCTGGTAATGTGTATTCTCACTTCCTCAGTAAATGGACAGACAGTGTTTTCCTATTGGTGATGAAGTACTCAGCATGTCTTTTGTTAATAATAACAATAGCAATAATTTCCCCTGGCTGTCAGTTCTATAGAAGGGCACAATTTCATTCACTCTTGACATGCGCCTACCAAGTTGAACCTGAGACCCCACACAAGTACATGATGGTGTCCAAGAGACCATGCTTTTGTAGCTCCTGCATAGTTCCATGAAGGGCGATCATGGCTCGAAGACCTCCACCAGCTCCCAGGATGGCGATATTGGGCACATCATCCTGAGGAAAGGAAAAGAGATCACAACGTATAAACTGGGATTACTGAGGAACCGTCATTGCTTGTCTAAATTACTTTCATGGTATCTGCAGTCAAACACCTGCCATTCCCACCTAGGATATCCTCCATCATGTAATTTTAAAGATTATCTTGTAGGACGCAATTCTGCAAGCATTCACCCATGTAAGTGTCTTTATTTACACAGGTTGAAATGAGACAACTCCCATGAGTAACTTTACTCACAAGCTTTCCTGATTGCAGTAATGAGGCCTGATTTTACCTCTTCATCTAAAGAATAATTCCAATAGCTTCTATAATATATGACATTTGTATGAATTATGTAATCCATGTAGCATTTATACTGTTAATTATCAGAACTGCTGGAAAATATTTCAACAGGGTTTTTGTTTTCTTTTGTTTTGTGGGGGGATTTTGATGATAAAAACAGCTTTTGGTTTAAAAGGAATTCTTTTACTGATATTTTTAGGGGTTTTCCCAAAACCTGGAAAAAATCATTGTTTAAGAATCAAAACTGATATATATATATATACAGCGAGAGAGAGAGACCTCAATACCACTAAATATGCGGTTTTAGGAAACAGAAAAAATCAGGTTTGAAGTTTTAAAAGAAATTGTGAAAAAATTCAACATAAATGAAAAAAAATGTTTTCTTCATTTTTCAGAACCTGTTCTTTCCATCATTTATATTTAAACATGTGTCAAGGCTGGATCCCCACTTTGCACCTTAGGGTACAAATGTAGGG